ATTATGATCTGGCCTTAGACTAAGAATAGCTAAGAGCATTATTATGATCTTGCCTTAGACTAAGAATAGCTAAGAGCGTTGTTATGATCTGCCCTTAGATTAAGAATAATTTAAGAGCACTATTGGATTAATATCTGAATTGAATAAAATGTGTTGATATGAACTGAATAATACCAAAATTGTGAATATCTGAAATGAACATTGTGTGCATGATATCAAATGATTTGATTATGAATTTAGATTCATTTTATATGGATGTTCGACGCATTAGATATGCTTACTCAGCTTTACCGCTGAGCATGTAGTGTGTTTTATTTGCTACACGCAGGTAAGCAGAAAGCACAATGTGATCCTGGCAGCAGATGGGGCGAGATTGTCGGGATGGATGTGACAAGTTTTGAAACAATTTATGATATGTCAATATTAAAATCGCTTCCGCAATATTGTTGAATACTCTGTATTGTATATGTATTGAAAAATATTATTGGGATTAATAAAGTGTGTTTGAAAAGTTTTAAATTTTTACGATTACCAAGTTAAATGCTTTAGTCCGAATGGGGCTGCAGACCTGGACAGATTAGGGTGTTACAGTTTGGTATCGGAGCAAATGGTTTTAAAACTGATCTTCGGATCAAAATTTGAATTAAAAAAAAAAATGTGTCAGTCACATCCACGACTCTCGCATCCCTCTGCTCCAGAAAAGGTATGAGAATTTATTAGGTAAATATTGACTTTGTTAAAATTCACACTAGATAACAATTGTTAGTAGTGAAATTATATCGAGCATAGACTCAAGTAGATTTTTCGTACTCGGTGAAGAGACGAAAGAATAAAAAAACTGTGATACGTTATCAACGTACTTATCATATCGCGATTGACGAAGCTGATCTATCTCGCAAAGTCGCATAGAAGTGAGACGACTATGAAGAAACGCCTAATGTTGAATAACATTCGCAAAGCTGCTGTCAAAGATCCTCATGTGGACTGAAGATGATCGGATTGCTGATTTAAACACGAACGTCTAGAATCAATAAACTCTGTTGTCTAAAAGTATCCCATTCTGATGTCT